CAGTGGCCGCTCCCGGCCACTGCAGCCTCGACCTGCTGGGCTCTGGCGATCCTTCCGCCTCAGCCTTCCGAGTAGCTGGAATTACAGGCGTGCGCTACCACACCCGGCTAATTTTTTTATTTATTGTAGAGATGAGGTCTCATCAAGTTGCCCAGGTGGGTCTTGAACCCACGGGCTCAGGCAGTTCACTCACCTCAGCCTCCCAAGGCGCGGGATTACAGGCTGAGCCACCGAGCCTGGCTTGTTTCTTTAATTTCAATTCTTGCATCTTTGCAGTTATCCTTTTCTCAACTATGCAGCCACTACGTACTAAAGTAAGTGGAACTTAGGACCTGACATTTTAATCACTTGAAAATATTTAAATTATTTAAAAAAATGCAATATTCTTTTTAATGCATTTAAAAAATGTTTTTATTTAATTTATTTTTATTTTTTTAGGGACAAGGTGCTGCTATGTTGCCCAGGCTGCTTTTAAACCTTTGGGCTCAAGGCCTTCAGCCTCCTTAAGTGCTTGGATTACAGGTGTGAGCTACTACGCCCAGCCTAAAAAAATACAATATTCTTTTTTATTATGGGCATTATTATTGCTCTACTGCTTGGGAAGCAGAGGTGGGAGGATCACTTGAGCCCAGGAGTTCAAGGCTGCAGTGAACCATGATTGTACCACTGTGCTCTAGCCTGGGCGACAGAGCAAGACCCCAACTTAAAAAAAAAAAAAAAATTAAGCTTTTATGAAAGTAAAAAAGAATCTTTAAAAAAACAAAACAAAACTGACATTACAGGCGTGGGCCACCACACCTGACTAATTTTTGTTTTGTTTTGTAGAGAGGAGGTCTTGCTATATTGGTCTCCTGGCCTCAAGCAATCCTCCTGCCTCAGCCTCCCATGATGCTGAGATTACAGGCACGAGCCACCGTGCCTGGACTGAAAATGCTTTTTGTATGAGTGATAAATAAGATATGAAACTATTTTTATTTTTTGTAATCTTTTATTCATAAATTTTAATTCCTATTTTATGGATGTTTTATACTTTATAGAACATATTAGTAAAATAGTATGTATATAATAAATATGCATATGTTAGAGGGCCATACTAAATTTTTGTTGTTGTTGTTGTTGGTTTGTTGGAGTCTGTGATCAAAGTAGTTGGGAGAGCTCTCTTTATTATCAGTCACAATCTGGCAAGCTATTATTGATAGGAGCAATGTTTAATTCTTTATTTTATTTATTTTTTAGAGTTGTAGTGTACAAGTTAGGGGTTGCTACATAAGTAGTTTGCATGCAGGTGAAGTTTGGGCTTCTAGCTGGCTCTCTCTACCCCTGGTAGTGGACCAGGTACCCATTGTGTTGCCACATGGCCCCCTCCCTTCTTCCTCTCTCCCTCCCCTAGCCACACCCCACGACTGCTGATCCCACTCTTGTGCTAATATGACTAGTGTTCAGGACCTGCTTATGAATGAGAATGTGCAATATTCAGTTCTTTGTTTCTGTGATAGTTCACTTAGTATGATGCTTTCTAACTGCATCCAAGTTGCTGTGAAGTCCATGATTTTGTTCTTCGTTATGGCTGCATAATATTCCATCATGTGTATGTACCACATTTTCTTTATCAAGTCTACTTTCAATGGCCATCTGGGTTCTATTTTTTTTTTTTGCTATTGTGAATAGTACTGCCATAAACATATGTATAGTGCAGGTATCTTTTTTAGAGTGACTTATGTTCTTCTGGATATATTCCCAGGAGAGGGATTGCTGGATTGTATAAAAGCAGTTTCTTTCTTTGAGAAATCATCACACTGTTTTCCATAGAACTAGTTTAGGTGGACTAGTTTACATTCCCACCAACAGTATAGCTGCATCCCCTTTTCTCTGCAGTCATACCATCACCTGTTGTTATTTTACTTGTTTTTTTTTTTTTTTGAGTGGGAGTCTCACTCTGTCGCCCAGGCTGGAGTGCAGTGGCATGCTCCCGGCCACCACAGCCTTGACCTGCTGGGCTCCGGCGAGCCTTCTGCCTCAGCCTTCCAAGTAGCTGGAACTACAGGCGCGTGCTACCATGCCCGGCTCATTTTTTTGATTTATTGTAGAGATGAGGTCTTGCCAAGTTGCCCAGGCGGGTCTCTAACCCGTGGGCTCAGGCAATTCACTCACCTCGGCCTCCCAAAGCACCAAGTCCGGCTTTTTTTACTTGTTAATGATAGCCATCCTTAATGGAGTCAGGTGGTATCTCATTGTAAGTTTAGTTTGTGTTTCTCTGATGAATAGTGAGGCTGAACATTTTTAAAATGTGTCTGTTAGCTGTTTGTAGGTCATCCTTTGAGAAGTGTCTGTTTATGCCCGTTGCCCACTTTTTTTTTTGAGTTGGAGTCTCACTCTGTTGCCCAGACTGGAGTGCAGTGGCCGCTCCCGGCCACCGCAACCTCAACCTGCTGGGCTCCGGCGATCCTTCTGCCTCAACCTTCCAAGTAGCTGGAACTACAGGCGTGCGCTACCACGCCTGGCTAATTTTTGATTTATTGTAGAGATGAGGTCTCGCCAAGTTGCCCAGCGGGTCTCAACCCACGGGCTCAGGCAATCCACTCACCTCAGCCTCCCAAAGGCGCGGGATTACAGGCTGAGCCACCGAGCCCGGCTCGTTGCCCACTTTTTAAAGAGGTTGTTTGCTTTTTTCCTTTCAGTTTATTTGAGTTTTTTGCAGTTTCTGGATGTTAGGCCTTTGTTAGATGCATTGCTTGCAAATATTTTTTTCCCATTTTATGGATTGCCTCTTTACTCTCTTGATGGTTTATTTTCTGTGCAGAAGCTTTTCAGTTTGATAAGGTCTCACCTGTCTATCTTAGCTTTTGTTTCACTTGCTTCTGGGGACTTGGTTATGAATTCATTGGCTACTCCAGTGTCCAAAAGGGTGTTCCCTACATTTTCATCCATGTCATCATTTTACAGATCATAAACCAGCACACACATAGTTTTAAATATGTGAACATTTGTTTTTTAAGGTTGAACCTTTATAAATGAAGTTTACCTTTAGTCCATATTCTAAAACAGTGGTCTCATCAACATCATCTGGGAACTTACTAGATGTATACATTCTCAGGCTATATCCTAAACCTACTGAAACAGAAATGCTGGTTAGCAAGCTTTCCAGGTGATTCTAATGCTAACTCAAAGTTTGGGAACTACTGATCTAAATGATTTAGATTCATGGATCATCCCTTCTTATTTCTTCTTACTTCATAATGTATCTGAGAGTTTTTTTTAATGTCTATAGTGTGTCTGTTTCAGTTCAGACTTTTTTTCATCTCTACCTGAGATTTTCTGTTCTCTTCCCCTCTTCTTCTTTTTTTTTTTTTTTTTTTTTTTTTGTGTTGGAGTCTCACTCTGTCGCCCAGACTGGAGTGCAGTGGCCGGTCCCGGCCACCGCAACCTCGACCTGCTGGGCTCCGGCGATCCTTCCACCTCAGCCTTTCAAGTAGCCGGAATTACAGGCATGCGCTACCACGCCCAGCTGATTTTTTGATTTATTGTAGAGATGAGGTCTCGCTGCCCAGACGGGTCTCGAACCTGCGGGCTCAGGCGATCCACCCACCTCAGCCTCCCAAAGGCGCGGGATTACAGGCTGAGCCACCGAGCCCGGCTCCCTCTTCTTTTTCCTTCCTCCCACTGTAAAAAATAGTTCATTAGTGTTATTTTCACAAAAAAAGGGGTAGTGCTTTGATTCTAAAATTTGAGTGCTAATGTGACAAATAGCTTATGTTTAGTGGGATTATTTTGAAACCTTTTCAAATTAATTTTGTTAGCTACTTCCAGTTAGACTCGGAAATGCACGTGATTAATTTCCTATTTTTTCCTGTCTATACTCTCTTGTTTTCAAGTTTTGAAATCTCAAAATAGCTTTCTCCCAACTAAAATTTCAAAACTTACATTTCAAAGTATGAATCATCTAGATTCAGCGGTTGTTGAATTTTGTTATATTTGCTTTATTTCTTTCAACACACATACACACACTTTTTTTTTCCATTTTGCTGGACCATTTTAAAGTAAACTGTATACATTAGTACCCTTCACCCCTAAATTCTTTATTTTTAAGATTATAGGCCAGGTGCAGTGACTCATGCCTGTAATCTCAGCACTTTAAGAGGCCAAGGTGGGCAGATTGCTTGAGTCTAGGAGTTTGTGACCTGCCTTCACAACATAGTGAAACCTCATCTCTACAGAAACAAAAACATAAACAAAAACAAAAATTGACCAGATGTGGTGGTGAGCACCTTTTAGTGGGATGCTGAGGTAGAAGGATCACCTGAGCCCAAGAGATTCAGGCTGTTGTGATCATGCCACTGCACTCTAGCCTGGGTGACAGAATGAGACCCCAAGTGCAAAAAACAAAAACAGAAGCACCCCAAACAAATGAAAAACAATATATTTCAAAGTCAGTGCAGTGGCTCACACCTGTAATCCTAGCACTTGGGGAGATCGAGGTGGGAGGATCATTTAATACCAGCCTAGGTGTCAAAGTATAACCCGTCTCAAAAAACAAAACAAAAAAGAAAATAGATCAAAGGTGGCCCTTAATGGGACCAGTGCAATATTGTTTTGAAAGGCTAATTTTTTACAAATGCTAAACCACTTATTAAGGACCCTTAAATATTTTCAAGTCCCTATTATAAATGTCTTAATGAAGAAAAGGTATAGAACTCCAAGTTGTGAACATATAAATGAATGTCTTCCAGCCTTTCTCAACCAAAGTGTCTTATCTGAACTACAAAATATAGAGGATGATTTGAGCAACTATTTTTTTTAATTCCTCAATCATAGTACATAACTAGTTATGCATAGAGAAGTTAATTCATTACATCATACATACATACAATAGATGTCTTTGGGCATTAGGGTTTAATTTTTTCCTGGGAAGCCAGGTTGGACTGCTTATGTGGCAAACTCTTAAAAGGATTTTGGCTGGCGTGTAATGTGTATACAAATAACCTCTTCTTCCTCTTTTTTAGATTACAGGTCCACCAGGTTGTGGAAAAACTCAGTTTTGTATAATGATGAGCGTTTTAGCTACATTACCCACCAGCATGGGAGGATTAGAGGGAGCTGTTGTGTACATTGACACAGAGTCAGCATTTAGTGCTGAAAGGTAGGAGATTTTATTATTTTCCATTATAATATTTTATTTTTGTAACTTATAGATGGCATGAAACATTTACAAATAGATTAACATTTACCTCTTTTTTTAAAAAAACACAGAATGCTAGGTACTGTTTTATAGGAATTTTTCTTTTAAAAATTGTCACAGGAAGTCATTTTTTAATGTGTTTTTTAAAAATTCCTTTCTTATTGGTATAAGTGGGGATCCGGAATAAACTGTTTTGCAGAAAATTGGGAAGAAAGAATTTGAAAAAACGGGGGGATTTAAGTAGAAAATTAGGAAGAGGGAAAACTAATAAAGACAGCAGATGAACTGCTTTGTAAGTACAGATGCACCTCGACTTAAAATAGAACCATGTCCTGACAGGCTTATTGTATGTCAACAATATCTTAGGTCAAAATGCATCTAATACTCCCAGTTAACCCATAGCAAAGTCAAAAAGGCATAAGTTGAACCATTGTGAGTTGGGGACCATCTGTAATTTCTAGTTGGGATTAAAATATTAGTGAAGATGTTCAGAACTGGGTTGCTTACATATTTGGAGACTGATAAATTCTGTTCTCAAAGTGTAGTATAGGTATAGTCCTTTAAGTCTTTCTCTAACTATGTCACCATGAATCAGATCTCTCCCCTATTTCTTTCTAAAGAGTACAATTTACATCAAAGTATGTTACCTGGCCAGATGAATTTCAAATGATTATTTTGCCTAAAGCTTATTACTTGCCTTGCTCTGTCTCCTGGTTATCTGTTCTTTCTAAGTATATGCCACTGAACTGTCAGATCTTTGAGTTTGTGTTATATTTTTATATTTTCAGTGCCAAACCTGATGACTGACACATATTAACTGCTCAGAAAATGTATGATGAATGAATTGGCAGGTGTTACTTCCAAATCATGAAATTCAGATACCATTTGCTATTAAAAGGAATGAAGCTTCCTTGGGGAAATGGCTGATTCTAATTCTAGAGTAGGAAGTTTTTAAGTTGAGTCTGAAGCATCGTATCAGATAATAAGGAAAGCTACAAAAACTATTCAGGGGGATGTCCAAAAGACTCAGAAGAGACCCCCACTGACCAAAGATGAAACAAATTGAGCATCAGTAAGAATAATAATGGCAGTGAATGAAAACACGATATATTTATATCCATGAGTCTATAATGATATTAAGAGATGAAAAGGAACTAATCGATTACCATTGGAGCATTCTGATGAAGCAACTCATTATTGTGAAAATGAGTTAAAGAAAAAAAAGTCAAGCACCTATGCTTCTTTTTCTATACAAACTGTATTACTGAACAGCAAATAGGCCTTTTTATAAATGTGTTCCAGTAATAAATGGAGAAGAAATGATAGAATATCACTGCATTGCAAATCTTAAGAATTTGATGGGTTTGGCAGTGGACATCCAAAAAGCCAGTCTCCATTTGGGTATCTCCTGATGGGAGAGCAATCAAACCTGAATGTGATCAAGCCTTCAGATCCAGTTGTCAGTTTATACATATATGGACAGGAGAAGAGGAGAGGAACACGTCAAACTATTCTAGAGAGATCCAATCAGCAAAATCCAAACTGTAGGAAATGACAGAACAAACAACCTGGTTTCTTTAGCAAATAAATTGTAAGATTAAAAAAGAGTTGGAGGACTCTTTGGATTTTTAAAAAAACATTTAAATGACGTATTGATCAATTGCAGTATGATGAACTTATGTGGATCTTGACTTAAACAGTTAAAAAAAAGAATAAAAAAAGTTAAAAAAGAACAGAAGCATACACATATGAGATCACTGGAAATTTGAACATGGAAATAAATATATGTGGTACTAAAGTTGGTCAAGACAGTGGTTCACTCAGATTGTCCAAGTGTAAAGTACTCTTTAAAATACCAGTGACTAGCCTTCATCTAACAAGCCAAGTATGTATTAAACAACCAATAAGGTCATAAACAGTTAATGTATAAATAGTTCTTACAAAGGGCCTGGGGAATTTGGTTAAAGAATTCAAGGATTAAGGTTATCCTGATAACAGCAGTTCAGTTCACTGTAATTGGATTCCTCCTTCTTCTGCTAACAAAATTGAATTTAGGATATCTTCTTAAGGAGTAAACTGTTGCATGATTCCATTGCTATCAGTATTATAGTTCAGAGCAGGTTAAAAATCATATCAGTAAACTGGGTGATATCAGCATAAATACAGTAGCAGGTGATGTCTCCTGCATTTTCTAAGTCAACTTATGGAGATTTTTGTGTTTCTTTGTCTTTGCACATGGCCTTAATTATTTATTTTTTGGATATTCCATATTTACTCATTTCTCCTTCATATGTTTTTCTACCTGTGTGCATATTAGTACTTAATCAGGGGCAGGTTAGAAAATGAAGAGGTACAATTCTTATGAAGGTCATTTGAGAATAGGTGTTGAAATTTGTATTGTTTTTAGTTTTTGATTCCATTCTCCACAAGGCTTAAAAAGTGTAGTCATCTGGCTCCTACATGGAATGGATTTTGAGGTCTGGTTATAGGATGAAGTCGAATAAAAAATTCTAGTGCTCTTTGATATGAATGGTGTTCTTACACTATCTTTTAGAGGTTGTCATGGTGGTCATAGAATGTATCTGGCTTTGAAGTTTCTGATCAGATTTCACTTGTGCTATTATAGGACTGCTTGCCCCCTGTTTGGGTCAAGTTATCAGGGAGCGTTGGTCAATCAGTTAGGAAAGTTTTCTGCTGCAAGTAATTGAATACCCAAAATGTCTTAAACAAAAAGAGGTTTATTTTTCTCATAACAAGACCTGAGTAGGCGGTTGCTGGCACTGGGTCAGCTGCTCACTGATGACAGACCTAGGACTGGTGAATTTTTAGACATCATGTTCACTCTGTGCTCAAGTCAGTGGGAAGGAAAAGAGCCAGCTATATCTTTTATCAAGAAAGTATACTTTTTTTCAGAATGTCTGCCCCTTCCTGTCTGCAGATTTTCTTTTTGTCACTTGCAGTTCTCTTGCAGGTTTCTCACTGGGCCACCTATGTATGTAAAGGAGGATGGGAAAGTGGGGGAAAAAAGATCATCATAACAGTCATGATGAGTCGCTAGGGGCTGGTTCACACTGCTTCCTGTATAACACAGGGGTTCCCATAACAAGGAAGGGATGAAATAGATATCGGGCTAATAATTCAGTTCTGACACAGCTGGAAATGTTTCTGGACTTAAGAGAAGAGGTAACCGGGGAAATATGAGACTGTAAAAGGAATATGTTTTAGCATTGTTTCCACTTTGTGTTTATAAAGCAAGCTATCTGATTAGCACAAATGAGAAAGAGTGTAAAGGATTAATATGAGGAAAGATTAGTGGATTCACATATGGAGAATTAAGGGTAAGTGATAAAAAGCAGAACTGAATTTCTTCCTATAAATATCTAGATATATTTTTTACCAAGAAGGAAAGAGAAAACAGGAGGAATAAATAAAAAAATACGTTTAAGATGCATTAAAGAAAAAAAGAAAATTCTGCAGATGATGTGCTTAAAAAGCACTTTGGAAAGATTAGTTCTATTTTTTAAAGCAATGCACTAAATAGTTTATTTTACATGTCTTTTA